TAATACTATATAAGATACGAGACGAGATTATATTAGTTAAAATAAGTATAGTCTCGTCTCAGATATTATAAAAAGAATAATAAAGAAAGAAAAAAAAAGGAAAAGAGAGAAAGAAAAAGAATACTTATTAAATAAAACGAAATAGCCTTAAGAATAAGACTAATAAGAGAGAAGTATTATATTACGAATTAAGGGTACTTAAAGTAATTAGCTAGCGTTATAAGCTACTAACATATAAATAAGAATAAGGCCTAATAGAATTATAGGTTACGTAAGAGAATTAAATGGAATTAATTTAATTTAACTTAATAAATTAAAGGGGATTAATTTAATCTAATATAGGGGATTAAATGGGATCTATTTAATTTAGAATTATAATAAAGAGATAAACGAGTACTTAAAAAGAAGGTATTTTTATAATTAAATAGTTTAAATCTTTATTAATTAATTTAAGTAATAGTCTTATTATTAAGAGTTATACTCTTAATAGTCTTATTATAATATTACTTAAAAGCTACTTTATAGCATTTAACCTAACTTACTTTCTAAGAAATAAACCTACTATACCTTAGAACCTAAGCCACCGTTACACTAAGCTAGCTAAATTCCTCTTTAACCCATTAAAAATCCACTAATAGGTTACTAATTAAGTTATTAAATACCTGTATTTAACGTAATACCTAGTAATTAAATTTAATGAAAGTTCTAATAATCTAAAGCTTTAAATAGCTTTTAATACCGCTTTTATAAACGACTAATAAACCTAAAAGTTATTATAAGGCTTAATAATTTAATTATTTAATAGACCTATTAGTTAAATAATTAGCAAGTAAAATATAGTTATAATATTATCTAATTTAGCTTACCTTAATAGCTATTAATAGCTTTAATAGTAAGCTATTAACCTAATTTATAGGGGTGTATTAACGCTAAAGGCCTCTTTTAATAGAAAAAGGCTATTATTTATTAGAGACTCTAATAAGCCTTAAAACGCCTTAAATAACTGCTTTTTAATTATATAAAAAGCCTTAAAAGAAGGCTCGCGTTATTACCCTATTAAAGCTAAACCTTTAATAGCTAAATATTATAAAACCCCTTAAAATAAATTACTTTTTAGGAGACCTATTAAATGACCTTAATATCTATAAATAAGAGCTTATTTTTCGTACCTAAATAGCTTTTATCCTAAGGATAATTCCACTATTTAATCCGCTTCCATAGCTGTCAACGTAACAGTCTCAAGCCTCTGGAAAATGGAAATCTCACTTTTGATTCTGGATACTATAATTCGTTTTTTTTTTTTTTTTTTTTTTGGAAGCTAGCTTCCCATAGTCATATACGGGTCAAGTAGTTTCCTAAGCGGCAACTGCAGCCGCATGTAGCGTTTGGACTCGGATTTTTCTTTCATGAGATCCACAGCCACTCTAGAGGTCGGATCCTCATCTGCTAGGCACGATAACACGGCAGCCTGGTTGCCTGAGAATCTCCGTTGTCGGAGGTTGGGTCGTGGCATCTGAAAGGAATAGCTCAATACTGATTCTTTGACTTGTAATGGATGGCCCTTCACTAATAGGACACGGAAGGGCTGTAATATTCGAACTTGGCAAAACATTTTGGCGGTGGAGCGAGAAGACCCGTAATCTTGAGCTCTTTTCTAGGGTTGAAATCAACAGGCTCCCAAGCTAGAAGAGATAGATCTTCGCCGTCTTTAAGAATCTCTTCCTGCAGCCGTATGAATGCCCGATCGCCCTCTCCATAGAGCAGTGGCATACTAACATTAAAGACTCCCAGCTGTGGGCAACATCCTCAAGCCTCGTTGTGCGTCTCTCAGAAGCCCATGGCATCTCGTTTGCCACACTGGAAGACCCGATATCGCTATTTTCAAGAGCTCCAGTAGATATCTTTGTTATAGCGGATATTTTATCCACCAGGGAACGTCTGTTGCCAGCATATATCCAGGCTTTGTCGAAGAAACTTGACTTCCTTCGGGGCAAGCAACTCCTGCAGTGTTAACCGGCGCTTGAACCATCGAGATTTGTTAAAGTCACCACCTAGCTGACCACTTGCGCAAGTATACTCAAAATCAACAATAGCAGTGCGCAGACTCTCTGTACCAGGTAAAAATGAAGTTGAGAGCCTTTGACGGCTCAGCGCTGCTTTTTGGTCGATGAGTATTTGATATCGGGGTCTGCTTGTTTGATTTTTTTCGCAAATCCCTCGATTCTTCCGCCATACTGCTTGCATTTTGGACTCAGGGTTGCTAAATTTCTGAGACGTCACCTCGTCGCTCCCGTATGGATCGAATCGAACAGTGGATTTGTATGAGGAGAGGAATAACGTCGCAAGAAGTCTCACTGCCGACCAACAAGCTTTGGACACTGCTGCGCGTGTCCTAGACACGGTGAGCTGGCCTATAGACAATGAGTAGTATAACTTGCTTGATACTGTTATTGGCCCAGCAACTTTGCATCTAGCAATGTGAATATGTAATAGTCTCAAACTAGTGAGAGAAAAAAGTATGAGTCTCCTCGACTAGGGACGTAGAGTTTCTCTTGAGACTAGGGGCACTTTAAAGGTGGTTATAGCTGTAGCGAATCTCGACTGAGTGGTTAGCTTTCACTTGAAGATAATGGTAGAGTGCATGATGTCAAGCGTTGCAGTTAGGTTACCGCTCGCGGCCAGATTGGCGAATGTGGTTTGTCCTGAGAACTGAGACGTGTTGGGAAGCGATTGAGGGCGCCTCAAGTAGCTGTTTCAAGTAACGGTTAGATTTTGGCCTCCCACGAGTCCATCAGTACAATGGGAGAAGATGAGTGAGGTACGCAAAGAACTGTCCTTGATATGGATCAGCCCCTTGTCCGACTTGATACCTGCCTTGATTACATTTGTTTTGACCAGCCCGCAAGGAACTTCCACGTTGGGCAACCCTTGAGGGAAGGCTTTTTCCAACTGAAGATGAGTTGGGAGATGTCTTGCCCCGGTGGACGATGCACATACTAGTCCCTTGGTCCTTGCACCATTTTGCTACCTAATAGGGCCTGACAGCTATGGTCGCCTTGCATAATTCGGCAAGATGTGAGACTGGTAGTCAAATGGGATACGCCATTCGCTGCAAATGTGTGTCTGACCATGCATATATTTTGGAGCTGAAGACCAGGATGGATGATTCACCTGAATGTTCCAGCCGCCACCACCTGCTTAACTTCTCTTGTCGACCCTACCAAGTCAGATAACTTGATGACGCATGAAACTTCAGGCGACTTATTGAGAGAGTAAATACGGACTGTTGAGGAGATTGGCCGCGGGAAGACCTCACGCGGGTCCTTCACCAGCCTAGAGACCTTGAAACAGTAGAAGCCTGCGTTAATCTCGGTACGTGCAGTGTTCTTTAGACACGGCATTTACTGTCATGTTTCGGTTTCGACGCGCTTTGCCTGCTGTGACAGGCTCGAGCCACGAGAGGCCAATACCATACTCTATACCTCGAAATCATCTGGTCTCCTACCGTTTTGAGAAACTACTGATTATTGCAGCACAGTTTTGGCATTTGCTAGACGTGAAACTAAAAGTTATTTCTAGTAGCGTAAGGAAAATGAGGGTAATTGTAAACATGTGATTCGTTACTAGTCTGGTTGCATCTAGCTCAATCATAATATCAAACTCGGAAGGAGGTGAAACCGTACATGATATGCTAGACAACACAGAGATTTACGAGCGGTGTCGCAATGATGCGGCCGGCTATGGTAGAACAATTTCTGTACGGTCCGAACGACGAAGTATGATAATCACCTTCTTGCAACCTTGGGTTTTGTTGCTGTACGCTTCCTCGTAGAACACTTACGGATCTAAGTGTACTTGATCTTCTTGGTCTTGGCCTCCAACTAATCATTCATTTCTTGCCGGTGGTTGATGCTGCCCTTATGGTGGCCAACTTGATGAGCAGCCAAATGTAAATGTGGCTAGAGCCAAAAGGGCACAATCATGGGCTGGATATAAGAGATATTTGGGGAATGGCTGCTATTTCCGGACCTCCTCGCTTCATGGATCAGTGGCCAAACCATATAACAACTGTGACACGTGGCTGGCCATGGTGTGCAAAAGTGGCTTATACCATCTCTCTGTTATCACTAAACAAGCAGCCGCGGACTAATTTTTATCCAAGGCCATGGCAGGATGAGCCGGTTTGAAGTTGGGAAGATTCTAGGTCGCTGTATCAAGTTCTCCGGATTTTACGCTCAGCGGACCACTAGGGGATTATGTCTCCCTGTCTTTCACTGTGAGCTTCTATGCTTAAGTACCGGTTACTCACTGTTCCAGAAAGTACCCTGAGATTTGCTTACAAGGAGGGACTAAATCTGTGTGCTCCGTCAACTAATTTCCGAACTGGCTTTCTGGCTACATGGCGCGCGATGTACCTCGGCCCAAGTTCACTGTTCATAGCGCTGGGGAAATAGCGTCAACCAGTTCGCCTCACGTGCAGATGCTATTAACAAGTTTAATTTTTTTTAATTTTTTTTTTTACCTTATCTCAATAATCATATAAGCACTAAATTAAACAAAGCCTAATAAGAGTAACATAATGTGTCTGCCGTACCTAAGCCAGAGAACCGCAACAGACTACGTAAACGTATAGATGATACACAGGCTTTAGAAAATAATTGGCTAATTGTTTCCGGATATCTTGTCTCGATACAGCTTCGTCCCATGGAATAATTCGACGAGATTTTTTATTTAGCTATAAACTTGAGCTCTTTTTATGGATATCAAAGGTCGTGATCCTTATAAAGCCTCTAATTCTCACAGATGGACCCGGCGATATAGGCGATATTAGGTGATAACCGCTGATAATGCGTTGCAATGCACCGTTTTTAGCCATTACTGCAAACAATCTCATGTTCAGTCGGGAGTTAAACTCATGCGCATATGAAACAAGGAGTAACACAAATAAGAGTGAAATGAATTTCGGCTCAAGAAAAATAAGAGAACATATAGAATTATCTAGCTTTGTTGTATCTGAACAATGTAATATTCTTCAGTGACACCGCGACCTAGATGTCCAAGCCCTGTCCGAACTATCTCAAGAGATTCGTTCCCCTTGCCTACTATCGACCGAATGGCTTCTAAATCAGCAAAAGAACTAGTCCCCAACAAGACCTTCCCATTTTCAGTCAGGTAATTAGCACTCTCTGCGACAAATCTCTGTAATAGCTGATATCCCAAATCGAATGTCTTTTCCGTCTTGAGTTCGTCTGGGACACTAGCATCAATTTGCCAGGGGTGGTTCCAGAAGATGAAGTCAAACCTTCCGTCAATCTTGTCGAAGATGTCGCTGACGATGAAAGTTCCTTCTTGCTGATTGCGTGAAAAGTTCTGCTGTGTCGTCTCGACCGCAAAGGGATTTATATCGGCACCGACGACCTTGGATCCGGATGCAGCAAGATGAAGGGAAATGAGTCCGGAGCCGACGCCGATTTCGAGAAAGGATCCTCCCTTGACGATGGAAGGGAGGTTCTGGCCGTACCATAGCGTTTCGGGGAAGTATTTTGGAGAGTAGACGGAGGGGTGAATCTGCAGCTGAAAATATCCCACTTGCTCAGAGTACGCCTCTTGGTGCTTTTTGGCTTCGTTGATGAGGTCCGAGATGCGCTTCTCCCAGTCTTGACGTGAGGATGCCATATTTTGTGATTATTGTATGAACTATTTAGAATACTTTGAATATCTTGACTGGGCTACTAATGAGAAGACGTGTTGGGTTGAGAAGCTCTGGTGAATAGACGAGCCAAGGGCTTATTTATACCCCGGTGAAGAGTTTACCATATTCTGATAATGACAAAGACGAAGAAACGTGGCGCTCCGTTTGACCCTGCTATTGCATGCATGATGATGAAGTTTTGTATCTAGACTTCTGATGCAAATGGTGATTCATTTCCCTACACGTTTCGCCACGACGATTCGGTGCGACCCCGCAGGTTACACATGGCAAGATAGTTGACTTGCTTTTTTGCGTCTATATTTTTTTCTGAGCTTGGGGCGTACTCAGATTTCGGCTGGGAATGGACCAACTTTGTCGTGCTGCGTCCCATGAACCAAGGCAGTGCGGTGGTCCAAGTAAAGCCGAAGCTTCTGGATGCCCGAAATGGAACCATTTCCCCAGAGAAATCATCGGAATCCAAGTTGAGGCATTCCGTTTCGCAACACGCCCATGCATGCAGCAAATGACTCGTGTTGCAAACTTTGGTCGGAGGAAAGCTGTCGCCTGGCGCCTGCAATGGTAACTACTGCAAGTTGGGGTTCCGAGCCATAGCATCTTACCGCTGCAGGTTGCTCGGGCCTACAGAGCACTATAGAGTGCATTGCAGTTGGTCTTGAGAAACAGCTGATTCATGGAGGCCGCCATGGCTTGTCCCAGAGAAGTGCGGCGAAGAATGCTGTGTTTCCGAGCCCGAGAAGTGTGTATGTCGTTTCGTTTCTGGACGTTGCTGTATGAGTCGCGTCGGTCTGATTTGCGGAACGAAACAGATGAGAGGTTTTAGCCTTATTATTCATTTCTCATGCAAAACTCCTCATCCACAGTTTTGACAATCAGCTCAAGGGTCCCTATGCCCTGCAAATACAGGCCGTACGACGTCCACTCCCTCGGCATATATGCAGTACGTATTAATATGTTTCGCAACCAGTGACTTTTCAGCTCGCAACTGGCGGACTCCACATCGGCAACTAACGGCGGTTGCAACATGCTTTGGCCCGTAGTCGTTCGTCCTCGGCTCGGTCGATGTGTCCTAATTGCGCGTCTCTGCCGGTACATGAAGCCTGTTTACCAAGTTAGCTAATGAATGGGTGCGAGTCTGAAATAAGACCAAGTGCGGTCTCAGGTCCAAGTGTATGCTTCTTTGCGGCGTTGCACCCGTAGCTAACTGTCTCGCCAAGGACACCCCTTGTCTTGGTTTATCATCAAGCATGACACAGCTTGCTAATGAATTCCTGCCTTGGAGGGTGGGAATAGTTTTGGTTGCAGTCTGCCGACTTGACTGTAACTTGAGACTCCGCTGAAACTAAAACACTCTCGAGTCTCGGTGGCGCCGCCTAGCCCATCCATCGTTTCATGCGGGACGAGCCGACGGGCGCCTCATTACATAAGAAGCGCCAGAAATGCTGCGAACACTTCGTGTACAGATCTGGTCGTATGCAGCTCAGCAAGTTCTAATAAGCGGTTGTGTAACTGGCGGTGGCTAGGGAAGAACCGGGTAGCATCTTTATTATTTCTTATATAAAGATACGAGCCGTTAAAACTTAATTGTATTTGAACTAGTAATTTTCATAATTAAATTAATTATAAAATGATGATAAAACTGGTTTTAACTTTATTGTTCATTAATTTTCTTTAGCAGTAGTTATGCTGTCACTCATGAGCTTTTGTGATCGACAAGGCATTCCCGAAATCTACTACGCGGCCAAAGCGGGCAGGCAAGCAGCCATCAAGAGCGGGAGCCACATAAAATAAACGATATAGGCGATAGAAACAATCTAAATTGCGCTAATAATAATAATGAGGGCATTAATAGCGATAATAATTCAATGGAACTATAATCAAATTAAAGTGAGAATGATAGGTTTGAAGGCGATATTATGACATTGAGAGATTATTCCTTTACCCTTGTTAATGAATGACAAAACCGCCTTTGAAATGCATAGGTTGGTGCAGCTAGCAACGCTAGAATGGCTTGAATCTCATGGTATACAGATCAATGGAGGCATTAGTCTCTCCAGAGGTTTTATACAAAGCTTCCAATTAAAGGACCACAAAAACTGGACAAAGTGCCAAGTGCTTTTCCCACATGCGCAGTCAGTAGCTGCACGACGGCCCGATGCCGAGGATCCTACATAAGGCGGCATCGTATGCCTGGAGAAGGGGAAGATCAATGGAGGCGGAAAATCTATCAATTCAGAAGTGGTGTAAAGTATAAGGATGTAGTGGAATCTTTGTCAAAACTCGCGCTGTCGTATAGCTTGAGCGGCTGATGGGCCGAGGCGGAAGAGCTGCAAGTCAAGGCGATGGAGACGTGCAAGAAGACACACGGAGAAGATCATGGCACTACGGCGATTCACATGATAGACTCGACATTGAGGGAATCAAGGCCGGTTGGAGGCGTCAGAAGAGCCGTTTATGCACGTAACGGAGACTTTCAAGAAGAAACTTGAAGAATCATCCCGATACGCTGAAGAGCATGAGCAACTTGGCGTTGACATATTAAAGTCAAGGTCGGTCAGCCACTTAAATTGGTATTCAGACGAACAATGTAATGATTTTGCGAAAGAAGCCGGTCAGCAATGAGTCTCATAATGTCAAAGTAGGCAACTGATAAGCCTTGCGATCGAGTCAGAACTGGCCTCGCGTACCTTTCGATCAAGATGCTAGGAGACATTGAGATAGAAAACGAGTCGGCACTCGGCGTCGAATACGACCCTGGTTACGGTTTTTGACGCCTGTCACATTTGAAATTATGACTGAGATTGGGTGGTTGGAAGCACCCGGGCCTATTTGCCCCGTCGTGAATTCACTGCCAAATCTGGCCTCTTCTTTGAGACAGAGTGCCGGTGGCGTATGCAATAGCACCAAGAATAGAGATGAAATATGACTGTCCCGATCCGACTGTTTGTTTCACCCCAATGAAAGAGCTACAAGCCATTGGGCTCTCAAACAAGAGACGTGATTGTGAGTAGTCCTCCGAGACACTTCTGCCACGCGCCGTAGGCACGAGACGAATTCCCATTTGTTACGGACCTATCTTGGCCCGCATTTTGAGGGGTCCGACGGCCGGTCGTCGTCGTCAGCCAGCCTCGTGCAGCCGATCTTTTCCCAGGCCTTTCCTGTGTTTGTCGCATCCGAAGTACGGAGTAACTGGGTAGATATATACAGCAGAGTTCTTTCATAACTGCCGGTTTGTTGCGTTACATTTTCTGGTCGATCGGAGACGAAATCAAATACCTATAGACCGCATATCATAAAGGGAAGCCCAGCCAGCCACAACTCTGAATAGTGTCAGATGCCATGTCACATCGGTCTGGTCGTTGCATGTTAACGAATGAGGCAACCACACAAGCTATTTTGATCGCGTCCGGCCTTGGAGCACCTGCGGCAGATGGACATGGAAACAACTACCGACCCAGAATCTCACTATCCTACCAGTCTGGCGAAGCTACCAGCTCAAAGTAACCATCGCGAGACCTTTTGTTCCGGCCCGCATGGCACGGCGTCAAGTATCAGAGAGGTGACCATTTTGCTCTTGTCCACACCCGTGGGTTCAGAATATGTTGCCCGCCTCGTCCTCTCAAGTGTTGTGCGCGGTCTGACTACCTTTGGCTGTTAAATGAGCAGAGCCTGGTATATGAGCTACTTTAGGCACGGCAACATATCTGCATCTGTTAGCATATCGGGGTCTCATTCTGGTGCTATGATATAGAACGCTCAAGGTTTCGCAAGCTGGAATCTGTTCATAGACACAACATTAAAGGTCCATGTCGCCAGCACGTCGAGATAGGCCAGGACACCGCAACTTCCAATGCAGCATTTCGGACTACACCGATTCACTAACCATATCTCAGACGCGCATTATCACAAACACTGTGACTTTTGTCTTGGGATCGGCAAGGGAATCAGGCCACTCTGGATATTTAGGAACAGTCTGCCCGTGCAATGAGGAGCAAGATGGTGGTTCTGCGGCTTTGGCGCTTGACACTATTCCCCCCCCTCACCCC